CTTTGTCAGAGCGATAGTGACGATCGTCACAGTGACGATCGTCACGGTCGCTCTGATGAAGGATCCCTGTGCGGACCGAAACGTTAGCACCGTATGACAGTATGTGACATTGGGTATTGAATAAACATATCAATACTTTAAAAACCCTTCAAGTGTGTGCCGGTGATTTACTTTTATTTACTATTGGCACTGGTAATTAACATTTTAAAGTTTTGGAAGGAGTACCCCAGCTGAACCAATTTACAGTATGTTTATGAGTAGAAATGAGTGGATTCAATGTTATCATGCATAGTTTTTAATGAATTTAAGTATATTTAAGATTATGTAATATACTTGAATTAAAATCTTAAGAGATTATTTGATTAAGGGGTTTTGGCAACACAGGTACTAATGTCAAGAGGTATTTGAGATATGGTACCTTAAACCAGGGGGTGCTTGAAAAGGTCCAGAGGGGCACATGCTTTAATGAATTTGAAAAACACTAATTTGCAGTTTCACAATTCAAGCTCCATTACCGGCCGGTCTCTCCCTATTGTCGAACAAACGCCCTTTTGACCCTTCATTGAAAGGGATGCAAACAAAAAAAATGATTGGGAAACACAGCTCTGCATATATGCTACATTGGACATTTTTTCTCATCATAAGGAATGGAACATAGGTAAGAACAGAAAAAGCAAGCTTGTTGCATAAAGCAACTGTATCTAGTAACCCTTCTCTTCTTTATTCTGCAACAGAAAACCATGACAAAAATCACAACCCTTTCCTGCCTGACCTTGCCACTTCTCTATACAATAGCTCACTCTCCTCCTGTATGGGCACACTTGCCCCAGTCACCACTCACAGAATCAGGCCCCGTCCACTACAGCCTTGGCAGACAGATGACACTAAACGACTCAACTGACCTAGTCGCGCTCTTGAGCAACTATGGCGTAAATCCAAATCCCTGCAAGACCTCACCCTTCCAAAATACAGTACCTGCCTCCATACAGTAAAAACAGACCTATTTTATCACATTTATTACCACCCTTTCATCCAGTCCCCATCAACTCTTTTCTACCTTTAACTACCTACTTCGTACCCGCCACCTCCCCCAACCAACTCACTCACAGCCCAGGAGACTGCCAATCATTTCAAAGACAAGATTGACACAATTCGCCATTAAGGCTGGCACTGTCCAGACATCTGCCCCTCTGAATATACCTTGTCTACCACCACATTCAATACTCTCTTCATTTGATCCTATTACTGCAGACAAAGTTGCTACTCTTTAAATCGAATACCCACTGAACTACCTGCCCCCTGGATCCCATCCCCTCACAACTACTCTGGTCAGCCTCTAGCTCTATTCTACAATCTCTTACTCACATCTTCAACCTCTCCCTTTCCACTGGCATCGTTCCTACCCCTCTAAAACATGCTTTGGTGAACCCCATTTAAAAAAAAGCCCTCAATGGGGCCCAACAGTCTGAACAATTTGAGACCCATCTCCTTGCTCTCATTTACCACCAAACTTCTTGAACGCCTGGTCTACAACCACTTGAGCCTCCACCTTACTGGCTTTTGTCTGCAACACTCCACAGAAACTGCCCTTCTAAAACTTACTAACAATCTACTAACTGCTAAAACCAAAGGCATATTACTCTATACTCATATTCTTGGACCTTTATGCTGCTTTTGATACAGTTGACCACCTGCTCCTCCTCAATAAACTACAATCCCTTGATCCCCAAGACTCTGTTCTCTCATGGTTCATCGCCTACATATCCCAGCACACCTTCAGTGTCAGCTATAGCTCCAATTCCTTCTCTCCTCTTCCTCTATCCACAGGGATCCCCCAAGGCTCTGTCCATGGGCTCCTTCTATTCTCCATATACACCTCCTCCCTGGGTCAGACTATAACCTCCCATGGCTCCCAATACCATCTTTATGTGGACAACACCCAAATATATCTCTCCACCCCTCCGCTCACCTCTTCTGTTTTCTCATGCATCACGAATCTACTCTCTGACATATCAACATGGATGTCACACCACTTCCCTAATCTAAATCTTTCCAGAAGTGTTTATAATATTTCCTCCTTCAGGTCCCCTCTCCAGACTTCTCCATCATAATCAATAGCACAACAATCAACCCTTCCTATCAAGTCAGGTTGCTCGGCGTAATTCTTGATTCTGAGCTCTCCTTTAAGCCCCACATCCAATCACTATTCAAATCTTGCTCACTCAACCTCCATAACATTTCCAAAATGTGTCCCTTTTTAACAAATGACACTGCAAAGCATCTAATTCACTCCTTTGTAATATCTCGCCTTGACTACCGTAACTCCCTCCTTGTTGGCCTACCACTAAGCAGGCTATCCCCCTTCAGTCTATCATAAATACTGCTGCCAGACTCATCCACCTTACCAACTGATCAGCGTTCGCCACCCCCCCTCTGCCAATCGCTCCACTGGCTCCCACTTGCCCAATGTATTAAATTCAAAATACTAACAATAACCTACAATGCCATCTACAACTTTCCCCCAACCGACATCAACCACCTCATCTCAAAATATCACCCAAACCACCCCCTTCACTCTTCCCAAGACCTCCTGCTCTTCAGCTCTCGTCAGCTCCTTGCATGCTCGCCTCCAGGGTTTTTGAAGAGTGTCTCCCATTCTCTGGAACTCCCTACCCCAATCTGTCAAAGCGATGCACAAACTGTTGGCGCTATATAAATCCTGCATAATAATAATATTAGTAGATTGGCTACATCAAAACTATGTGCCCATAAGGTCCATTTATATATCCTAGAATTTACTAGTGCTAAGGCACAGTATAACTGATTACTGAAGCATTCCCCATCCACCAAAGTCAATGTTAACCTTTAGAAAACCACACAAACACCACAAATGTTGGCAGAGGGATGAAACTAGCACATAAGTCAAATGGCTCATTATGAACATACCATATATTTTCTGAATTCCCTGTAAGTCATCTGTAGGTAGCTTGAAGTTGTCCGTCTCCATATACTGATAAAATGGTGCCATGATAGCCGTTGGATCATTGGAGTGCTCCAATCCTAACGCATGACCCAATTCATGCACAGCAACCAGAAATAGGTCATTTCCTGAGGAAGAAAATAAATGAGAACTCTTTTGTCAAAGAATTTAATCAATAAAGTAATTACACACTCATGAACCATTCAAATCCTAGTTAATTAGTTTAAGAGAAGGCTCAAAACAGTTGGGGGAGGGAAGAAACAATTTCTCTTGTAATTGTATACAAGGCTAGCAGGTGTTAAAGATCATTTCACATTATTGTCACTAATTGTTTACATTATAAGGATAAACTAACATGAAGCAATAACATCAGTGCTAACACCCTTTAATTTATGACAGGTGTCATTTGTATTCTCGGTTGTGTGTTTTTATACTCCATTCATTACGGTTAACGTGACATAACTGGCTGACAATACAAGCACAATGTAACCTATAAAAGCATCAATAAAATATCTAACATTATCTTCCGGCATTAGCCTAGTGCTGTGATGTTAAATAATTACAAGAAAAGCCTTCTATCATATGCTGACATGTCTGTACAGTCATCCTATTGCAATTTTTCTGGATATGAAGCCAAACTCAAGATTTTAATGGCCTCACATTCTGACACTACCATGTTGGACAGACTCCATGCCATCCAATCCCACCTCACCCTATTGAGCTTATAAAGCATAAGATACTTCTTATTGCAAAGTCTTCACTCATCCCTGCTATCCTCTGCACTATGGTGTTCTACTGCTATTTCCCCAAGGCCGCAATCCCTTTCTACTCAGCGCCCCACATGTTGCTAATACCACATTGCTGCTGTGCTTGTAAATGGCATTGCTGTTAGATAGGTGTAAGGGACCCAGGGGGGCCGTTCCTTGTCAGGTTCGCAGGCATCGGGCACGGGTAGCTCCTCCTCCTCCCCCTGGCAGGGCATCTGATGCTGGTGTGGCCAGTGCGCATGCGCGGACGTGCGAGCGTAGTGCGCCTGCGCTATTCCAAGCCACAGGTGCTACTCAGGCTGGGGGAGGAGTTCAGCCTTCACCACTTGCCCTCAGCCTTGTGATTGGACTCTGACTGGGGAAGCTTCCTGGTTGCCCCGGCAGCCAGGGGGCGGTACTGGGTTCCCTGTGTATTTAAAGCTGGTCAGAGCCTTGACTCATTGCTGAGTTATTCTACCTCATGGTGAACAACCAGCTCCCTCCTGTGAACTTGGATTATCCTTTTGTACTGCGCTTTTTGGACATTGTTCGTCACTGCCAAGGGATTCCACACCTGGACCATTATTCCAGCCCTGACAATAGGCTAGGAATTCTGCTGACCCTACACATGCAGAAGTGGAGGTCTGGGATCAGAGAGAGAGAGAGAGAGAGAGAGGGGATCTCTAGCCTTTTTCAATAAAGCTCTTGTGTGTCCATGCGAAAAATCCCGTTGGAACGGTCAATAATACCATCAGAGGCTTGGCAACTGTCATTTGAAATTTTGTTTGATTTTAACTTAACATTCAACTTTGGAATGAATGGAGTTTCCCAAACGAAACCCACATCCACTGTTAGAATTTCGTTCGATACAGAAAAATCTTCCAACATGCTCCTTCTAATTTTTTCGTCACTGCGGTTGAAATCAGCGATTTCACCGCATCAACGATTAAAAAGTCGAACAAACGTTCCGAATTCAATTTTGCTAATTAGAAATTCTAACCATGTATATCCTACTTTAGACACATCTATCTATCTATCGATCTACCCCTCTACGCATCTGCCCGTCTACCTGTCTATCCATCCATCTAGCAAAAATAGCTTCAACATTCAAATACTGCATCCCAGAACCTTCACAAAACACAAACCCACATGTGCACAAATCCTTAATGAAAGGAACAGGATGCCTCACTTTCAGAAAAAGATTAGAAAAACTGTGCTTGTTTAGTTTGGAACAAAAGAGGTGATTGCCTTTATATCCAGACGTATATCCAAAGTGAATATAATTTTTGGCAGATAAACCTTTTACCCAAAGAACCGTAAAAAGAACAATAGGACATCGGTTGTGTTATGGAGAAAAGAAGATTTTACCATCAGTACAGGAAGGGGGTTTTTCAGAATGTTTAAAGCAGATCTGTTCTGAAATGTTAACACAAATGTATGTTGACAGTCTTGTGGACATGGAGAAACAGTCTTTAAAAAAACGGTACTTTTTGTGGAGAAAACGCTGCTCCAAGCTCCCTCCCCTCATGTGGTCTCTGCTGCAGGGGTGGATACTCACAAAAGGGATTGTGAAACAACAATTTCTCCATGAAAGGTAAATATTTTAGCCCTTTCAATATTCTTTATTAATCCATCACAGCAAGACTATAAGCATAGTATGTATTTCTTACAACTAAATGCATCCAAAGTTAAAACTAAAGATTAATATGATAATATTTTGATTCAAGTTACTACGTTTGTGGGGTTAAGAAGAAATTTGGCTTCCCAGTGTAAGGGAAAATTTACCACAGCTGTCCTGGGGGGTATTAAATGTGGAATCTGTAAGAAGTTAAACTTGATATGTCTCTTTCCACCCTTATCTATTTACATTTCCAGACATTCTAACAGTAAAGTGTCCTTGGACATTATAGACAACACAGTGGTGAAGGGAGAGGCCAGCATTTCCTCCAACTGGAATTGTAAAAGAGAATGGTGGCAAGACTCTTCAAGGAAGGAAGTCCTTGCCCAGGCTGTTAAAACAGAAACACAGCTCTTGGCATAGAAAATCATAAGAGCTATTTTAAAACCGAGTAAATTAAAACTGGTATAGTAATCATCAGCTGTGTTATAGCTTTAGAAATAATAACAGAAGTATATCACTGTAGCGTGAAATCCAGAGTGGTTATCAGAGGCTGCAGTGGATGTCTTAAATCTACAGCTAAAACAGCCTACAAGCCCCAGAAACTGACAACATAACCCATTGGAATTCCTTTATAAACTTTACTTCCAAAACACACATTACAGATACACTGGCATTCTTGTGACCTTAAAAGGCAGACCTGCCAAATACGGCCACTGAAATCACGTTTAGTACAACTGGATAAGAATAGCAACATGCACAAGACGACATTCCATGTTCATATATTTTACTTTAGGAGTTCTACTATAGTTACATAGTTACATAGTTAGTCAGGTTGAAAAAAAGACATATGTCCATCGAGTTCAACCTATAGAGATAAGAGATAAGAAAAAAAAAGAAAGAAGAAAAATCTAAAAACAGAATGCTATGCCCACAGTTACCCACTGTTGATCCAGAGCACATATGCCACCAGGCCATTTCCTAGACTTTTACTTTCAGATCTAGGTATTAAGTTATTACTAATACCAGTGATAATCGAATGCAGAGGCAATTATGATAAAGATTAGATACATTGATATAGTCTCATAGATACCTTTGAGGGCAACCATGATTAAATGGAGTTTGGACACCCCTGATCCAGAGGAATGCAAAAAAAAAAAAAAAACCCTAATAAGCATATTTAAATTTTCTACTCTTCCTGTTATCTGAGAGGCAAGTCAGATCTAATACTACAGCAAAGTCATTAAAGAACCACTCCAGTTTAAAGAAAAAAATAAATATGAATTCCAAAGAAAGAGCTCACTAAATACAATCAGGATATTGCTAGTCTTCTAAAAGACACCCAGTGCACCCTTGGCCACCCAGTCTGGAGTGAAGACTTGCAAAGTGCCACAGGGAAGAGCTCTCATACCATTTCTGCTTTTCCTGTCTCTTCTGCATTCACTTTTTTTTACTACTACATTCGATTTTGACCCATTCTCACAACAGCTTGTTAAAGCGGAAGTAAAGTTTGCTTTAAAAAAAATTACTTACAGGTTTTTTAATTTTTTTTTAGCAGAAGAGACTGTGCAAGTCTCTTCTGCCAAAAATCTTCTTCCTGCCTGTCAGCAATTTGAACAGACCCGGCATGCCGAGATGAAGTAACTGTAACGGTGTGCAGGTGCAGGATTTATATCATGCCGACCGGCAAATCAAGAGGCTGAAGACACTGAGCCCAGAAGAAGACTGGGAGAAGATAACACTGCTATGCTGGAGAGGATCGTTTTACAAGTAAATTGGCCATAATGTGCCAATATGCTTTGCTTTTTTCCTACCAAACCACTTAACTTCTGCTTTAACTCGCACAGAATGAATGTATATGCAGTTTTGCTGGGGGAATATGTGCAAATTGTTTTCATAAATTGACTCTTTATAGTGCAGTCCAGGAGCTAATCTGCACCTGTCCTCTCCAATGCATAATAACACCAAAGATCACACAGTAATAATAAACAAAGCACCCCTGCATTATGAGGCACAGCTTTTCATTCTGATTTAAGTCTGTTCAGCTATGAAAAGTTAAGAGTTGGTCACACATAACTTAATACATGGAAATCATCCATGTGGAGGACTGCAAGAGGCATGGGGGCCCCATTAACAGACTTGGAAACTGCAGATGATTATTAAAAAACACACCCAGAGTGATTTTATTATTATGTGTGCTCATTATGTTGGTTTCAACCTCTTTATTTATATAAACACATAAACTGCAGGCAATTAGTGGGCAATCTGTACAGTAGATGCTTTGCTAGAGAGGGGGATAAGTCTCCCTCTGAAACATTTAATAGGGTTCCTCATTCTATGACTTGGCCAGTTTTCATTTTCTGCCCTTCACACGTATAAAACTGATTAGGGAGTAATTAAACCTTTTCATTCTTCAAGCATGCAGGCATGGTGTTACAGTGTAATTGTCATACTTTGTCCCTAAAACAGAGAAACTAAACAGCACTGTTATACATATGTAAATGTAGACTTTTTGTCAAAGGTCAGTAGCTAAGCACCCATCCCCTTTTCTAACCTCTCCCCCTTGATGCCGATGTATGCCTTCTGCCCTGCAAAACTGGAGACCCGTGACAGGATGGGCAATGGTATATTTGAAGTGAGGAATTAAATAGACAACCTAGTTTCCCCATCTTTGCGCTGTCGGAGAGGTAACAGGAGAAAATCCAGGTTTTAGGAGATAGGCTGTGTTCAGATGTGAGTTAATAAATTGAATAAAACATATTTGTCTGCAGGTTTTGTAAACTTTGGAAAAACAAATGATTGCTTTCATTTGATTTTTTTTTGCTGCAAAATTTATAATCTGGTGTTGGCAGCTGTTGCGATAAGTTTCCACAGGAACTGTGATACATTTTGGCCGTCTGTGGTTGGTCCTTTTACCTATCAATTTGCTTTTACTACTTATCAGAAACAGAGCTCTGTAAATAATGTAATATGGATTATGTTAACTATTGCGTAAGTGATACTTTTTATTATATCACGGATATGATCTTTTTGTAGTGTATTATTTCAATAATGTTGATGTATATCATACTTTGTTTTTGTTCATTCTAAATATAATATGCAAACTGTATACTTATTTACCTGCACAAAGTATTAATACTATAAGCACTGAGCATATATGAACCCAATCCCTAAACTCTGATATAAGATTTTAGAAAATAATGTAATTTAAACAGTCATTTTCAATCCTTTTAAAACTGCAGCTTTCATTAAAATAATTCCTGGTGATCCTACTATTAAGGTCCGTGTTGAGGTGATTCCTATTGTTGGGTGACAACTGTCTACAGTTGTATTACACATTGCACAGGCATGGTCCACCGCCCTCACTATGAGGAAGCCAGTCAAAAACAATGACGTGTAGCTGCCACTGGAGTTAGAGCATGTAGACAGAAGTGTCTGAAAGAAGATGGAGGATTTCAGCAGCTCTGTGATGCAAAAAAATAATAAATAAAGGAAAACAATACACTGCCCAGGAGGGTTGCCACTATGAATCTATGAATACTAATTAATGGGGGGTGGAGGTCTCAGAGAGAGCTCAGTTGTAATTTACACAGAGCACAGAGGTGGCCATTTTTATGAGGATATGAATAAGAACACTAACACAAATGTTTCTGTGTTCATATATAGCTACTGCATATGCCTGCTTCATGAACACTCTGTGTCCATTGCTGGCATATGTTTTTTCGTTTTTTCATTTTAAATATCTCCACAAAGGTGGAAATGGGCTTTAAAAACTGTGTCATCTTTTTTGGTTGGCAGGTGGCAGCGAGATATTCTCAGAAGAAGCCCACTATGCTCTTTCCTCCGTCCACTAAAGCATACTTCTATAAGATCGACATAAGAGCTGCATGGACCAGCATGGAACTAACCAACCCGAAGGTAATACTGTGCAGCATTTTTCAAAGACTAAATTATTTTCTACAGCTCTGTACCCAGGAGTAGTGGAGGAACGAACACTACTTGGCAAGTTTGTGGCCATTATCGTAGCATAGTGCTGAGTAGACCTAACTACCTTGTAGCATATTCGTACAGTGGCTACAGCTTGCAGGTGTATCTCAAGCATTATCTAACCAACCCACCCAATTTTAAGTGGGGTGTCCACCATCTGACAATACCACAAGTTGTTTGTTCCCTCCAAAAAATGTTTGGGTTTCCCCGTGATCTTTCAAAATCCTAGTTATGCCACTAGAGGTACAAACTGGAGGGCTAAAAATTTCAATGTTAGCATCTC